TCTCCCTCTGACCCTCCTCCCTCTCATGCTCTCTGTCTCTCATTCTCTCTCTCTCACATAAATAAATAAAATCTTTAAAATATATATATATATACCACTTGGTATTATCAAATGAAGTTGAATATGAAATACCCAGAGGGTTTCATAACTGAATTAGTCTTCAAAAATGAATGAAACAAGTGTCACTTCAGTCCCCCCGGCCTCCGTGGCTCTTGTGCTTGGGCCTCAGCTTACTGGAGGCAGGTAAGAAAAGTTATTTGCCGAACTGTTTAACCAGGCTTCACGGTGTGCTTGTGTCCTTGGGAAGCCCGGCCGATTCTGGGACGCTCCTAAGCCATGTGCTCTCCCTGCGCGTTTTGCAGGTAAATGCGAATGCGGCAAGTGCACCTGCTACCCTCCGGGAGACCGCAGGGTGTACGGCAAGACGTGTGAGTGTGATGACCGCCGCTGTGAAGACCTGGACGGTGCCGTCTGTGGGGGTGAGTGCTCCGCGTGTTCTCAGGCCTGCAGCCTGCCTGCAGCCCGGGTGGCCTGCCTTTCTCACCCTACTGCTTGCTTGCTTGCTTGTTTGTTTTTTTGTTTTGTTGTTTTTTTTTTAAGGAAACTCTGGGGCACCTGGGTGGCTCATTTGGTTGGGCCTCTGACTCTTGGTTTCGGCTCAAGTCATGATCTCAGGGTCCCGAGATCGAGTCCTGTGTTGGGCTTTGCGCTCGGGGAGTCTGCTTGGGATTCTGTCTCTCTCTGCCCTTCCCTCTGCTCATGCACTCTCTCTCAAATAAACAAATAAATAAAATATTTTAAAAAATAAAAAGGAAACTCTGCTAAAAAGAAGATCAACTTAAAGCAATATACAATTAGACCTAAGAGCATTATCTAATTAGGTTTGCAATGATCTTTATCTTCTTGGACCCTTGATTTAGGGCTATGTGAAGACACACAGTACGCTGGCGACAAAAGGTTGCTGAGATTATACAAGCTCCTGTGAAGTCAGTGACAGGTTTTGCTGCACCTGATCAGTTGAAAATGATGTTTATTGTTCTCTAATAAAAACCTGGGGTGGGGGGAAGGAGGTATTACCGACCTATGTGAAAAAAAGCAGTATGATTACACTCAAAGTTTACTTACAAAATCACAAAAAATAGACACTCCATTTCCATGATGGCTCAGAGACCCAACAGGAGATGAATGACAGTTAAAAACAAACAAACAAAAAACTAGAGGGAGATAGAGATAGAAAGAAGTCAGTCAGCACGGAGTCCCGAGGCTGAATGTAACAATGCCTACCGAGCTCCACCCAGCTGAGGGGATGGGCCGCCATCATTCCCCTATTTCAGTCTTGCAAGACTTCCTGTGTCTGAGGTGATGTGTGCCAGCTCCAGTTCCACACAGCTCTCCGGTACAGTCCTGGTGAGCTGGGTGTGCAAGCCTACTCAAAGACTCTACCTCTCCTCAGACAGTGATCGTAATGTAATTGGGTGGTGGTACTGGAAAAAAAAATCAAAATGCATGTCCAGCTTACCAAAGGTGGGGACACCATCTGTCTCACATCCATGCATGTCTCTCTGTTTTCTCTCTATCCAGCTATAAAACACTGGCCATTGGAGCAAACATACTTTCTTTCCTTTCTCCGGGAGCCAAAGGAAAAGGCCCTTTTTTTAAATAGGTCTTATGCCGGGTGTCTGTGTCCCCCAGCCCTGAGAGATTGCTCCTGCTTTCTTCAGGTCACAGATGGAACAGGGAGTGAGGTTTGAGGCGTTCATGTCTCCAAACTAAAAAGTGGTAGACCCGGGATTTGAGCTCTGATGTTCAGTTCACAGATCTTTCTCGGTACCACAGTTTTCCCCAGGGTGACATCAAACTGTTTTGACTTTTTGTCTATATTCTTTTTGGCTTGGATTTTTTTCTTCAGTGGTAATTACTAGAAATATCTAAGTAGATTATAGTCTTTTTTTTTTTTTTTTTCAGTAAGTGCCTTTATGTTTACTAACTCATTTAATTCTTACAGTGATACCTAAAGCCCACCTGGCACCTAGAAAGAACCACTGACATGTGTTTGCTCTTATGAGCATCATCATGTCTCTCACATGGAGTGTCTACCTCACATGGGTCTCCTTGCCCATCTGCCTTGGTAACTTGGTTGAAAGGGTTGATATTGTAGAAACCTATTACATCTACATACCCATTAAATTATATATGCCATTCCCTCAGTGAATCTGTCTCTCTGTCTCTCTCTCTCTCTGACTTTGGGGAGGAACTCAAAGCTGACAACAAATCTGTATAGCACCGTGCTAGATGAGATCAAACATTTACTAGGTAAGCGAGAGAATATCTCACAAGGTAATAATTTTTTTAGACTAATTCTTGACTCTGCTTGTCTACAGTCTGTATTTTGTCCATCTACCCAGAGTTATTGTGCCCCAGGGGGAACTGATTTCCACTAGCCAAAGTAGTAAAAGACCAATGTATAAACCAGAAAGCCAGTTATTTGATATACAATGAGAAATATAATTGTACCAGAGACTAGAACCCTTTGTAGAGAAACTCTACAAAGTAGAGTAAGTAAGATTCTGAGATAAGGATTTGAATGCAAGTAATTTACTGGAAGGGTGAAGGAGATTTTGGTAGGAGAGTGGGAAAGTGGAGGCAGTCAGTTACGATTGTGTTATCAATCCTGTTACTGCTGTGGTCAACTGGAGCTTCATCTGAGAACCGGAGATGAAACTCTGGGAGCCTGGGTAAAAGCACACAGTTCTTAGTTATCCATCAGTCGTGGGCTGAGGACTGCTTCTAGGAGGCATTATCTCCCCTGCCACACCCAGCATGCCTCAAAGGGACACACGGGATCTCAGAGCAGGCTTCTCTGGCTGGCCAAGACCTTGGGGCCGAGAACTCCAGGTGGCGGCAGGTTGAAGTCCCCAAAACAGTAAGGATGGTATTGGTGGGCACAATATCATCTGCCAAAGGATTACAACTCTCATGCCCGCTGATCTGAGTATCTTCTCTGGATGGTGCGGAGGATACACCAGCAGAGTCTTACTCTTTAATACTGTCTAGATTTTGCCAACCATCCAACCCAACCTTTCCTTAGACAGAATGTAACACCGTAGATTACACGAGAGTTATAGACATGCAGACACATCTTATCCTCCTGCTGTAGCCTTACTCATAATTTGGGAGATCCTTACTCACACTGTGAGAAATTAATTCTTGGGGGGTTGATCTTACCGAATAGAGATGGTATCATAGAACGTAATTATCAGAGGACAAAGGCGTTTTCAAGTTTGGGGAGAGGGTTGCTCCTGCTCAAGGGAGGGCCCCGCCCTGCCAGTGGTGGACAGATAGAAGCCAGATGTGCGGGCATCTTTGATCACTATAATGGGATGCATGCATTCCCTCAGGCTTTTTCTTAAATCTTAGCAACCAGCTCTAAAAAAATCACCTATGCATTTAATTTCATATTCTAAATTTTATTAACAAGATTTTATTGACCAAAGTTCTCTGAATACTTTTCAAGTATGTAAAGGGAAGAAGTCTTGGGAATTTTCCTAAAAAAATGTCTTAGGTTATGTATAATTTCACTTTAATAGTTGAATAATGTCCTTGAGAAATTTGGGGTTAGGATGATACTAGTATTTTAAAAGATTGTTTATAGGTGACAGTGATGTGTTTCTCTTACCCCCTTCTGCTTCATCAAAGCTCCTTGAGCTGACCAGCCCAGGTGACAGGACAGGCCATTAAATTCTGCCCCCTGTTCCTCCCTAGGGCTGATGCACACATCTTTATATATTCTAGTGAGTATTTTTTGCTTTTCTTGTCATTTACTTGTGAATCTTTACTCCTGATGGTCATTCCTATTGCTTGGGGTGGGATAGTTCCAGGAAGGAGAGGGAGAGATTTCCCTATCAATGGCCTACTCATGTTTATCCTAAGTAACCTACAGCTAGAAAAGCTACGTATAACTTACAGTCCACACATACACTCTGTTTAGTATTCCTCAACAAGACACTGTCTATTCTTCTTATTCATGTTAATTATAGTCTATAAAGTTGCTGTGAACACTGAATTAGCGAATACTGAATCATTGTTCCTGAGAGAAATACGGGGCCCTGTTCCTGCCTCTGGTCAGAGGATTTTCATTAACAGATCAATACATGCCCTTGTATTATGTATGTTTCTGTCTAAAGACACCTTGTGTAATATATAGCTGATTTGTTAATATTGAACTCATGGCCAACAGCCCTATAACTCACACCTGAATGGAGATTATGTAGCAGATGATTTCTCTGGAAGGCACATTACAGCCTTTTTGTACTTAGGTGCACAATGTAGCACTTTGGCACTCTACTTAGGGGACATCTTAAACATCAAAATCATCAGCAAAAAGCACAAAAATGTAAAAAGCAGGGCACTAAATATACTGCAGAAAGGACAGTTGTTTACAGTGTAAGAGCTGAAACAAGAGGTGGAGGGTGATCTTCTTTGACCTTAGCTGAGAACGTGAACCATTCTGCCTATGTGCCCCAATGACCTGGAAAATTTTCATGAGTATTGATTTCAGGGATACAAATACATTTTAGTGAGTAGGCAAAATCTCAAATACGGAATTTGCAGATAAATGAGAATCAGCTGTAATTCGTGTTCTCACTGGGAACATTCCCTCCCACCATAGCTTTGCACTTGGGCTCAGAGTGTGATTTCCTTGGGCCAGCTAATAAAGGTACTGTGATTTTAATTTGTTTCTTTTCTGAGCACTGCTTTAAGGGAGGAATTACTCGAGCCTTGGTTATTATAGTCTTGAATTTCATCTATGTCTCAGCTGTTCTCTGGAAAGAAAATATAAGAGACATGCCATTAATTTACATGTTGGAATCTACAGTAACTTTAGGATTAAAGTATACAGCATGCCAAACCAAGTGATGAGGATATCACAAGTTCCTTGACTTCCCATGAACCTTTATGTAAATGTACTTTAATATTTAGAAATATAAATAGCAATATAGTACAGTAGTTAAGACTGCAGATGGGAGCCCAGCATTGGCTCTGACACTTACTAACATTATTTGAGATAGTTTACAAAACCTCCATTTCTCACCTATAAAATGATGATCATAATATACCTCTCTTATAGGGTTTCTGTAAGATTAGATGAGTTAATGCATATAAAGTACCCAGCATATATGTATCATACACATATGACATACATATATGTGACATACATATATACACACACATTAGATATTATTATTACTGGTATATATACATATAAAGAGAGTGACAGACATAACAAAGGCAGAATTTTATGCTGTGGACTACTGTAAACTCTATGAGATGTGTAACAGGGTTCCATGTTTGCTTATTAATTCCTTTTGTAACAACAGTTTATTATTCAGAACTGTGACTTTCTGGTGTTCAGTTTTAGATGGAATGAGTATTTTCTCCTGTTCACTTTTTGCATAAAGCAGTCCTTCTCCTCACACTT